CGCCCTTGGAGGTCGGAGAGGTCAGTTCCATATAGACCAACCAGAGGACTACTGGCGACTCCCTCACCTGGGGCTTTATTTTTAATTGCTTTTCCCCAAAGGTTCGGTCGGAGCTGCCTTCTTGCAGACTCATTAAATTATCCTTCATGTCCTTTTCACATTTTACTAAATTCACCTCCTATGACTGGCTTAGTTTTGCTCTAGCTACCATTACACGAAGCTTGTGACTTTCTGGTGAAAAGCTAACTGCCTAACATTAATCATGTCTGTTTTTTTACAATGGAACTGTCGTGGACTTTTTTCCAATTATGACGACATCACCTTTTTATTAAATGAACACCGTCCTGCTGCCTTTTGTTTGCAGGAGACGCACCTTAAGGAAAGTCACTCAAATGTGCTTAGACACTTCAAAGGAGGCTGTGGAGAGCACTAAATACCAGAAGACATTCAAAAACAAGCCCAGCATTATCCCTCCATTCGCAATTAGAAACCGGAATTTGGCAGAGTCAACCCCGCAGGGGGCACCTGTGAAAGCAGGTGTTTGGAGAGTGGCGTCTCCACGGACACCAAGCCATGCGGGTTTGCCCGCCCACGTCTGGCTGTGCGTGGCTTTCCCGTGTCCGGGGAAAAGGGCATCCTGGTGGTTGAGCCGAGCCCGGGGTAGGTTTGGACCCTTCGGGGCCCCCCGGGCGAGGCAATACACCACTTCGGCCCCCGCTTCCCGTAGACGGGAGTCCTGGCTTGGCCCGACCAGGATGATTCAGCCTAGTCGCCACTTCTACTATCCCCTCCTTTCTTTCACCCTTGTCTTCTTCTTCTTTTCACTCTTCTCATTTCCCTTCTTTCCTTTTTCAACTCCTTTGGCGGCAAGGGCTAACCTTGGGTGGTGACAGATACTCTTGTCCAGATCCACACTTGGTTATAGTTTCTGGGTAGCGCTAATAGAGTAATGCTTCCAGCAAAGCCATATTTGTTATGGGGTGTTACCTATTCCCTCGTTGGGCTCCGTGGTGGGCGGCGCGCCACAGATTCCGAACACTCCTTGCCCTCTTATGGCGCCCCTCTCTTCCAAACCCCGTTCGGGGCAAGCCGTTAAAAGGCGCTGCCCTGAACACAAGACTATTGAAAAAGAACCAGAGGTAGAAAACTTCACGAAGTTTTTCGTTGTTCATTCTCTCGATGAACAGAAACCTGTTTCAAAGCTTTCACCATTTGTCGTTGCCAAAGTACTTGAACACCTTGTAGGGTTTTCCTACAAGGCTAAAAAACTCCACTCAGGAGACCTCCTTGTTGAGATAAATAATAAAAAGCAAAGTGAAGCGCTTCTCAAGCTGAACACCATACTTGATGTGAAAGTGTCGGTGAGCCCTCACCGCACACTGAACACCATCCGTGGAGTCCTCTCTGAAGATGACTTCCTTCACACTAGTGAGGAAGAACTCCTCGAGGGACTCCAAGGTGCTGGCGTTGTCGCCGTAAAACGGATTATGTTCAAAAAAGATGGTGAAGAAATCCCTTCAAAACACGTCATCCTTACATTTGAACGACACACACTGCCACAAACAATCAAGGCTGGATACCTGAACTGCCACATCCGCCCTTTTGTCCCCAACCCCCAGCGGTGTTTCCGTTGCCAGCGTTTTGGTCACGGAACACGCAGCTGTCGAGGGAAGGCGACTTGTGCAAAGTGTGGCAGTCAGGATCACATCTCTGACAATTGCGAGAATGTGGCCCACTGCGTTAATTGCGATGGACCACACCCTACCTACTATCGTGGCTGTCCCATATGGAAGCAAGAGAAGGAAATCATTGCCATTAAAGCCAAAGAAAATATCAGCTATAGCGAAGCGAAGAAAAGGTATTCCTTCATGTCGAAGGGATCGTACGCCGACGTGGCACGGAGGGATCTTGTGCCACGCTCGGAGTCTAGGGCTACCCAGGTCTCACCTGAGGTTCTGGAGGCAGCCCTCAGGGCCCCAACCCCCCAGCCGGGGCAGCAGTGCCCCCCTCTTCATGGAGGGAGTGCACATGCTGGTTCGCTGGTTCTAGACAGGCCGGCAAATGCCGCACCTGTCCGGACTTCGCGGTCTTCTCCCGGGGAGAGGGGGCGAAACTCCCGCCCGACCTCCTCAGAGAGGACCTCCTCTTCGAAAGAGCGGCACAACCCTCGTGCCGCTCCCCCAGTACCCAAGGGGCCGGAGGAGGCAGAGTTGAAAGACACTCTGCCCAGCACCTCCGGTGCCTCTTCGGCTGGTCGTGGCCGGGGCAAGCCACCCCGCACGAGCCAGCCAAAACCTTCAGGTAAAGGCTCGCCTCCAGAAATAGAGGCTATGGATGATACCGCTGAGTCACCCACTCCTGCATCCGACGAGGGTGACATGGAGTGGCAGACTTTGAAGTCTAAAGGGAAAAAACCAGTGGTCCCTCCCAAATAACCATTAATTTCATACTCTCAATTTCTTCATTGCCTCTCTCTTTTTAATTTTACACTTCACCTTTTTAGATAAATGAAGAATTTGCATTTTATGCAGTGGAACTGTCGTGGTCTTTTACCCAATATTGATGACGTTAACTATTTTATGGATTATCTTCGGCCTATTGCCCTCTCTTTACAAGAAACTCATCTTCAAACACATCATACACAGATTTTACGACGTTATCAAGTGTTCCGCAAAGATCGTCTGAGTTCCAGTTCTGGTGGCGTAGCAGTGGTCGTGCAGAGCGGGGTTGCCTGCTCTGAGGTCCCTCTCTGCACACCACTCGAAGCTGTAGCGGTACGCCTTCTTTTAGACCGCCTCATTACAATTGTGTCCATTTATTTGCCACCAAACGTTCCATTGCAACTTCACAAACTTCAGGGTCTTGTAGGACAGCTTCCTCAACCCTTCTTAATTTTAGGAGATTTTAATGCCCATCACCCCATGTGGGGCAGTACTCGCCTCGATTCTCGAGGCCGAGTAATTGAGCGGTTTTTATTATCATCTAACTTGTGTATTTTTAACGGGAGAGAGCCTACTTTTTTTAGTTCTGCTCACAACTCATTTACATCTATTGACCTTTCTATTACTTCACCTTCATTACTTCCATGCTTTTCATGGAAGGTTTTTAATAATCCCTTTGGGAGCGATCACTTCCCGATTGTTTTCCGACTCTGTTAACACGAATGCCCCGATGGAAACTAGATAAGGCAGATTGGTCCATTTTTCAATTAGAGGCACTGATTGATTCTTCTATAATCTCAAACATGAATCCAGATGAAGCAACGCTGTATGTCACAGAGGTTATAATACATGCTGCCACACGGAGTATCCCTCAAACGTCTGGTCGTCTTCCTAAGAGATGCAAGCCATGGTGGAATGATGACTGTAAAACAACACGAAAGTCCCAGAACAAAGCTTGGTGCATCTTTCGTAGATATCCAACTTCTAGCAACTTACTTGAGTTTAAGAAAACGAGAGCTAAAGCTCGCTGGACAAGACGCCAGGCGAAGGGAAGCTCCTGGAGAAAGTATTTGACGTCCTTGAGTAGTTTTGTATCTACAAAAGAAGCGTGGGATCGGCTTAGAAAGGTTAGGGGCGACTACTTACCTTTCAGAACTCCTCTCTTCCCTGCATCATCTTCAACATCTCTGAAAGATCAAGCGAATGTTCTTGGGAAACATTTTCAGGATGTTTCTAGTTTACGCAACTGCAGTGAAGCCTTTAAAAAGTTCAGTTCGACAGCAGAGAAACAACCAATCATTTTGTCTGGTGCTCGTGACACTCCGTACAACAGGCCTTTTACACTCTCTGAGCTCAAAGTGGCTCTTAGTGTAAAGAAACAGTCTGCTCCTGGACCAGATAATGTTCATTATGAGATGTTAAGGCACCTGTCACCTGATTCTCTAGGCAGTTTGTTGACCTTTTATAACTCATTGTGGCATCGCTCTGCATTTCCCGAGGTTTGGAAAAGAGCTCATGTAATCGCTCTTCTGAAGCCTGGCAAAGATGCTTCTCAACCAACTAGCTACCGACCCATTGCTCTCACAAGTTGCTTGGGAAAAACCTACGAAAGAATGATTAACCGACGTCTCATTCATTTCTTGGAGAGTGAGAATGTGCTTGACATTAATCAGTGTGGTTTTAGAGCTGGACGTTCCACCCTGGACCACTTAGTCCGCCTTGAAAAATCTATTCGTGAGGCGTTTGTACACCGCCAGGTCTGTCTCTCTGTGTTTTTTGATCTGCAAAAGGCGTACGATACAACGTGGCGCTATGGGATCCTGCGGGATCTCTATGCTTACGGTGTTCGGGGTCGCATGTTGCGATGTATACAAAACTTCTTAATGGGACGTACTTTCCAAGTCCGTCTGGGCTCCACCTTATCAGATGTGTTTTCTCAAGAAAGTGGTGTCCCTCAGGGAGGGGTGCTTAGTGTCACACTTTTTGCAGTTAAAATCAATAGCCTGGCTCAGGTGATACCACCGACAGTATCTTATTCTTTGTATGTGGATGATGTGCAAATTTCAGTTTCTTCTTGCAATCTGCATAGTTGTGAACGTCAACTGCAACTGACAATCAACAGGATGAGCAAGTGGGCAGCCGAAAACGGGTTTCGCTTCTCCCCCGACAAAACCGTATGTGTTCTTTTTTCGCTGCGTCGAGGGTTGTCACCGGATCCTACCTTGCATCTGAATAACGTTACCATTACTGTTAAGGGAGGACGCGGGCCTTGAAAACCGAAAAATCGCGAAAAAGTCGATTTTTAGAAAACTATATTTTTGGGTTGTATATCTCATAAACTACCTTCCCTGTAATTATCAGTACCGAATACAACGAGAAAGTATTTAAAAACAAATATCTACGACGCGTGGGTAGCTTCCAAGTGACGATCAAACGTCAAAACTCAACTCTTCTTCGCGCGCTCGCCATTCCCGATGCGCTTGGCCGACGTCCGCCATCTTGGTCTTGTTTTGAACGTGAATTCTTTCTCCTTTTTTTGCCGGCTCCCAAAACGGCTACGGCCGCTTGGTTAGGGCGCTATCGCCGTCCTCCTACGTTGCAATTGCGAGAACGTGATTGGACAGAGCGCGCGCTCCCCGAGCGCGCGGAGGAGAACGCGGCTACTATTGGCCGCGCGGTGAGCTCTCCTCTCCCCGCACGCTGTTTGCCTTTCCCTTCCTCCCGCTCCTGCCGCTCGCGGGCTTGCGTCGTCTGCTCCTTCGGCAGTGATCTGCTTGCTTGCCCTCGTGCTTTGTCAGCTTCGCTTTTCACTCCTCCATTGTTACGTCGGTTTTGTTTTCTCGATCGCGCCTCTTCTTCAATCAGGCTAGCGATGTGGAGGAGTAAGTACAAAAGCAAGACGAGGTTTGCGTACGGAGCGTGTAAACGCTCGATGAAGGAAGTGAGAGCAGCGAAATCGAGCGCCGATGCGGCTCCCGCCACAGGCAGCGACATAGTCGTGTCGACGTGTTCACCGACTGCAGCTGAAGAATCTATCAGCTCCTGTGTGCCTGGAACTTCGACGGGAAACACGACGGTGCACCTGCAGACGGAGTACGTTTCTCGGGCGGAAGCTGAAGCGGCAGCGCAACATCGCGATGCCGTTCGTGCCGAACTTGCTTCCGTGTCTGCCACGCAACGTAAGTTTGATATTCTGAAGCAAGATCCTCCTACTCCGACGAATTCGTCATCGAAATTCACCATCGTGCGGCTAGATGCTATCAATGAACTTCTTGGCTACACGGTCTGCCAAGGCTGCTCAGCCACGGGAATGAAGATTCAAGAATCGACAGCTCTGGGTCTTGCTGTGAAGCTTGAACTTGTGTGCCCCGTCTGTGAAGTTGTTTCCCACGCCTGGTCTTCACCACGCAAGGCCGACTCTAAAGCGTTTGACGTGAACCTGAGAGCAATATCTGCAATCAGGAGCATCGGCAAGGGCCAGACTGCGTTGAATGATTTCTGGTCAACGATGAACGTGTCCCACCGAGGACTCCATCACAAGACTTATCAGGAACACCTCAAAAACGTTGTCAGCAAGTCGGCTGCAGTTTCTGCAGAGAAGATATTCACAGAGTCCGCTGCTGCTGTGAAAAGTATATGCAAGGACATGGACCCAAGTTTCACCAGGGATATTGCCGTCGTCTATGATGGCACCTGGCACAAGAGGGGCTTCAGTTCCCATGTCGGCGTTGGGAGCGTCATAGAATTCGACACCGGCCTGATTCTAGATGCTGAAGTGCTCTGCAATCTGTGTCTCGGCTGCCAGACTGGACCCAAGCCTGGAGACGAGAAGTACGCCGAGTGGTTACAAAACCACAACTGCCAAAAGAACACTGATGCGAACTCTGGAAGGATGGAAGTTGATGCTGCACTTGCACTTTTCGGGCGTTCTTTGGAAAAACATGATTTGCGGTACACTACGCTGATTTCAGATGGGGACAGCAGGACTTTTGGTGCCCTAACCGAAGAGAGAACCTATGGGTTTGTCCCCATAAAGAAAGAAGAATGCCTCAACCATGTGCAGAAACGAATGGGGACTGCTTTGCGAAATCTCTCGCAGAAGAGTGACAAGCCACTAGGAGGAAAGGGCCGCCTCACGAAAGGACTAATTGAAAAGCTCACTGGCTACTACGGATGGGCCATAAGGAATCACAGCAACGACGTGGGCGCCATGAAGCGGGCCGTGTTGGCGACCTTTTACCATGTCACCTCAACCGATGAAAATCCGAAGCACGACCTGTGTCCAAGTGGAGCAGACTCTTGGTGCAGGCACAGGGCAGCTGAGGCAAAAGGAGAGCCACTGGCAAAACACAAGTACTGTCTCCCCAACTATGTTGCCGAGGCCATGCTGCCTGTGTACGAGCGCTTGTCACAAACGGCGCTCCTCACGCGCTGCTTGGGAGCCAAGACTCAAAATGCTGCGGAAAGCTTTCATTCGGTACTGTGGTCTTTGATGCCGAAGGAGCAGCATGCTTCACTGGTGTCTGTAGAGGCTGCCCTGCACGAGGCAGTCATCAGGTTCAATGCTGGCTGTGCTAGGGCACATCAGGAGATAAACAGTGCCATGAACCTCCAGCCTGCACACCTGGCTCTCCGGCGGGCCTCGGAAAAGGACTCTCTGCGCTTGAGCAAGGCCACGAAGCGCCACCACGCAAAGCAAGATGCACGCCAGAAGAGGAGAGCTGAACACAGCACCACAGACTATGCTGCGGGTTCTTTTTGACACTGTTGTGCTGCATCTAACTTTGGGACTTCGTTTCTCGAGAAGGTGTTTATTGAATCTTACATTACTTTTGCCAAGCATATCTCGCAAAGCAGTTGTTCGATTTGTGCGCTGTTTCTTTTATTTTGATGACGGATAGTAGTAGAAGGGTGTGACAAGCCCACTTTTTGCAATAAGATGCTAATTTTTTTTTAATCCATAAATTGTTTTTATATCTGTTAATGACTTTGGTGACATGAAAATTTGAATTTGTATTAAAAGCTGTTCTTGAATGAAATTCACCGAAAGGGCTCTGTCACTCCCTTGGGTGTATATTCAGACACCTGTCTAGCGAATTTAATGTTCATACTATAGTCCATTTATATCTCGGGCTTGGCAGAACAAAGGAACATAAAAACTCATGTAACTCAAAAGTGAACAATGATAATTAATTCAAATCTTACAGTTATTATCAATGCCCTTATACCAACAGACTCTGTAAATTTCATGCCAATAGCTCCAGAAACAAAAACAAGTTTCTAGGCGTGATATTCGACAAGAAGCTCACATTCGTACCCCATTTGAAAGAACTAAAACGAAAATGCCTATGATCTTCCAATATTCTTAAAGTGCTGTCGCACACAACTTGGGGGTCTGACAGACGATGTCTGCTGCGAATTTATAACTCTCTAGTGCGGTCCCGGTTGGATTATGGTGCACCGGTATATGCGTCGGCACGACCATCTGCTTTGAAGATGTTAGACCCAATCCATCACCTTGGCCTGCGTCTAGCCACAGGTGCTTTTCGCACGTCGCCCGTGCCGAGTCTGTATGCTGAAACACATCAGATGTCCCTTGAGCGACGCAGACAATATCTTAGTCTCTGCTATGCCTACAAAGTTCATAGTGATCCACACCACCCTGCATTCTCTGCTCTGCAGACCTCTGCATCATTGCGCCTTTTTGAGAATAAGCCCAGTATTGTTCGGCCCTTGAGCCTTCGGGCTGAGAGCATGGCAAGGTCGCTGCACCTTTGTTTTGATGAGCCTCCTTTGTTGAGACAGGCCTATAGGGTTGCTCCTTGAGATTTGGTGCCAATCTCTTGTGATTGGTCACTTTCGAAGTACAGCAAAAAGGTTGCTCCTCGTCTTGTTCTCTTGCGGGAGTTCGCAGAGCTAGAGAAGAAATATAGTGACTATCTCCACTTTTACACTGATGGCTCGAAAACATTGAATTGCGTAGGCTGTGCAGTTTATTCTCTCGCTTTCAGTGAAGTGAGGCAACTCAACCCTCTAGCAACTATCTTTACTGCTGAACTGTATGGTATCCTGATGGCTATTGAATATATTCTAGAAAATAACATTAACAAAGCAGTTCTGTTTGTTGATTCCCAAAGTGTTCTCTTAGCTATTTCATCTTCAGCAGACAGCAAGAACGCTCTTGTGCAACAGGTTCGTTTTCAGATAAACAAAGCTTTCCATCTAGGACAATTTATAAACTTCTGCTGGGTGCCCAGTCATGTGGGCATTCCCGGTAACGAGAATGCAGACCATCTTGCTCTTTCTGCAAAAAATTACACGGAAACGTCTTTTGGCCTGCCGCACCAAGACCTCAAGCCAGCCTTAAACAAGTCAATTATTAAGTTATGGCAACAGGATTGGGACACACAGATAGATAACAAACTTCACATTATTAAGCCCAACTTAGAAGTGTGGGAGAGTTCCTCCCATAAGGACCGCCGTTCGGAAGTTCTTTTATGCCGCTTGAGAATTGGTCATTCTCGATTGACTCACCTGCACTTGCTCTGCGGTGAAGATGTAAAGCTCTGTGAAAAGTGTGGGAAAATGTTAACTGTCTTTCACATCCTGTGGAATTGTAGATTTTTGGATCATCAACGTCGAAGATATTTTCCAGAACTTTTCAGAAACCACCTTCCATTTCATCCTTATTTTTTGCTTGGTGATAGACCTTTGGTACCATTTGCTCGCGTTTTAAGTTTCCTACATGCAATTGGCCTTTTGCACTTGATATAGATAAGTAAAGTTAGATGTAAATGCAAGGCTCCTTAAATTAACTTTCTTGGCGCAATATGGCCGTAGTCGCTCTTGCGCCATTAAACCCCAATCATCATCATAATCATCATCATTGGCAGAGTCAATTGGGATAGACAGTAAGCTCCCAGTTGCTACAGTTGCAAGGTCGGTGGCACCATGGGATTGCAACTGCATACGTTGTGATTTTTCATTAACAAAGTTCAATAAGAAGGATACCCCAACTGAGGTCATGCGACAAGAATTTTTCGAACTCCACAAGGAACACGATTCTCATTCCCACTACTACACAGACGGCACAAAAACTGAATCATTTGTTGGCTGTCCCATGATTGGCCCTTCAGTAAGAAGTGTTCGTAGGCTTAATTCGTCCGCTACTGTTTTCACTGCTGAACTGCATGGCCTGCTTGCGGTAGATCATGCATATCCAAACATGTAACTCTCGGTCAGTTATATATACAGATTCACTGAGTGCTTTACGGGCTCTGACATCGCTTGAAGCCCCAAAGAATGCCCTCGTTGTTTTATTACAAATTAAAATAGTAGCAGCAACCAGGAAAGGATCTAATGTTCTATTCTGCTGGGTACTGAGCCATGTCGGAATCCCAGGGAACGAAGAGGTAGATCGTGCTGCGGGCACTTCTGGCTCCCGTGCTGTAGACATTAGTAGCATCCCATACAGAGATTACTGTGCCCTAATCAAATACCATGTTAAAGCTCAGTGGCAAGCAGAATGGAGCCTACAGGTGTCAAACAAACTGCACATGATTAAGCCTTTTCTTGGTGAATGGCAGAGTGCTAGGCACAGAGACAGGTTTTATGAGGTAGTCCTTTGTCGACTACGCGTAGGACACACGCGGCTCAAGCACGGACACCTCTTACGTGGGGAGGACCCTCCTGAATGTGAACATTGCAGGAACCGCTGAGTGTCTCACATATCCTTCTAGAACGTCCTGCGTATGAAGAAAAACGCCTCCACTACTTTTGCCAACTTTACAAAGAGCATGTTTCCTTTACACCTATGTGTAAAGGAAACATGTAAAGGAAACCCCAATCTACTACTACTCTCACATTAATTGAAAAATACTATGACTCATTATCTAACTAAGCCCAGTTGAAGCTTTGTTGGAGGACAGGTTTGCTAAAATTGTTTTGTCTACTAGGCTGGGCGAGGTATGCAGCCATGCTGTTTCACGTTGAAGCAGCTGTCCGAATGGGTGGCACAGCCATGCCAAGCAGATCCGTACTCTGCTCGTGGAGTGCAACATCAAGCTCAGGGAAGGTAAGCACCTCAAATTAACTCATGTGTTGTGCTAAGGTATACAATATTTTTTCCCACTTATAAAAACCTGGCAAAGATGCCATACACTATATTTGGCACGTAAACAAGTTTCTAATGTGCCAAGAACTTTGCATACTCATGCAGGTGCAAGCATCCAAGATTGCAGATATCAACTTCTCAAAACCAAGGAAGGACCACCCTGGCAAAGTACCAGAATTATCAGATAGACAAAACACGCCATCATCATCAGCACCACAAGCCAAGGGCAACTTCTCTCAGTTTCTCCAGTCAGTGAAGGTAAGCTGTCATTTGCAATGGGAGATCTGCCCATCATTTGTACATGTCAGGGTCATAACTGGGATCACCGCTTCAGGTCAGTGGGCAGGGGGTTTAGGCTCCTAGTGTACGTCTTATTTTGTGTACCGTAAAATCCCGAGAGATAGCTCACCTAACATCAAGAGCAAATCGGGTGAAAATATGGAGTGGGCTAACTTTCGGTGTATAATCAAGAAAAGTTTTAAAAAATTGCTATTTTTGGGTTGTGTCCCTTCGAAGCTTGTTGGAACGAGAATACAGCGCAAACGAACGACGGACCAGTAGAAGAGTACCGTAAAAACCCGCGACTGAGGTCATGCGACAAGAATTTTTCGAACTCCACAAGTTAATTTGACGACTGCGAAAAAAAAATTATCCGTGTATAATACGAAACAAAATCAGGACTACGAAAATATTCCTAATTTGCATCATAACTGAACCTTAATCACTGTCATCACGTCCGTCAGACTCCTTGTCCGACGCCTCCTCCCAAAGGCAGTAAGTAGTCTTCAGTGCTGTCGAGCGCATTTTAAATCCCGCACTTGAAAGAACGAGCAACGAGCGAGCGACAACGCAATGAAATCTTGGCACGGCGCATAAAGCGAGTAACCCAATGTCGGCTCGCCAAAGTTCTCATGCAGCAGCTCGGTGTTTACGGCGAAGTGCCGTTCATGTTGCTCTTTTACAAAGTTAGAGCGAAGTGTCGAAGTCGGCGAACACGCCATTCTTCGGGCTCCTAAAGTTTCTTCTCGTTCCATTGCACGCAAACAGAGCTTGCTTTTGTCATCTCCATATGCGGATGCTGCCCTCATTTACGGCGAATTGTCGTCTGGCTGCACTGTTGCCGATGCCTTCTGCAACCAAAAGGACTTTTCTTTTGAAGGCGGTCGATTATCGTCTTCGCGCCGACGCTACTGCCGAGCCTCACTGTGATGGATGGTGGCGCCTCAAACATTGTGATTTTAATGATGATAATGATAGCTGTTTTGAGCGCCTTATTGCCTCGAAACCGAAACTATGTCAAACAGCATTAGATCGTGCCTCATCGAAGCTGGAAATTGTTAGGACCCGTGAATAATACCAGCCGCAAATCTTCCATAACAAAATTTAAAAAAAAAAAACAAAACTCATATTATATTTGGGTTTTTACGCTATACACAACACTATTATTACTAGTAGTGGGCTATCTTTCGGTGTTTAAAAAAATATAGCAAATCGGTCCAAAAATTGGGGTGGGCTATCTTTCGGGGGTGGGGCATCTCTCGGGATTTTACGGTATGCAATGCCAAGACTCAAATTTGTCGGTATGTTGAACAGTTTATCGACACTTATGGTTATATGTCATCCATTAGCCAGAGTGCTCGCTAGGAAATGATATGCCTCATCATTCCTGCATTGCCTTTTTGATTATGGTGGCACCAGTGGTATTATGTGTTCAGAATGTAAATGAAACATAGGAAGTAGCTATCAATAAGGCACTGTTAGAAGGGATTTCGATCAAACTATCCTTCACGGAAACAATATCATCTGTCATTGAAATGTCACTTGGTGAAACAAACATTATTGGCCCTTGAAATATCCCCTCCCTCTTTATTTCCTTAGCTCATGCAAGCATACAGTATTGAGTAAATTTCATTGCTTTTTTATTTCATTTTAGGAGAGTTACCCGGATGCAAAGCTCTTCAAGATGCTGCCCTCAATGTTTTTAAGACCCAGAAGACACTGATACTGCTTCGGAAGACGAGGGTAGTCTCGAATGCCTGCCACTACCTCTCACAGATATTTACAAAGAAGAATATATCAATTACTCAGAGGAAGATCTGGAGACAGGGCCGTACCCGGAAAAAAATTTTGGGGGGGTTTTCGGGGACAACGGTGGCCATTTTGAAAATGTCTATTGTCTTATTTTCGCCTATGAATCATGTGCATCGGTGGCATATAATGGAGAGTTATAGCAAACCGGAGAACCGGTCCCGGTTTGGTACCCGGTAGCCGACCGGCGCCACTGCGCGTGCGCAGAGGTGGATATTAAAATCGGCTGGCTGCAAGTGCACCAACCATGTACCACGCACTGTACCGGGGCTGGTCCTCCGCTTTGCTAAAAAGGTAATAAAAGGATACTTTCAAATCGCTTGTAACCTAAAGAAAAAAAACTGTCAGGAATTTAATTCCTGGTAATGGAAAGGAATAAAAGTTGGTGTATAACTTTTGCCAATTCACCTGGACGACCCTGCGTTATATGAGAAGTCGCTAGTTGCCTTCGCCATGCCGCTACCACCGTGCCTAGAGGACCTCCGACCTGCCACCGACTGCCAGCGAAATAATTTTTCACGTTCAGAGCAATCGCTCTCGTGAAGTTTTAAACCCCAGTTGCAATTCGTATCCATTCTATTCATACTTAGGTTGAGGGCACAAACACGAAATCTGCGCATATCTTGAGTGCTTTGCGGGGTTCGGTACGTCCCTTACGAGATCCGGACCCCTGCCTACCAGTGGCTCCTGACACGGCAGCACTGGAAGTGTCGTTCGCATACAAGCAAGGTGAGAATAATCGGAAACAAACAGAACCAAGCAGCACGACGATTAGCTCTTTATATTGCCGTTGACACACTCTGCTTGCACAGATACACTTCAAACACGCAAGGTTCCCGACGATTCTTTTCGTATTGTGAGCTGTTTAAACAACGAAGTTCTTCCTCCGCGGCAACTTGCAAAAGTCCGCGAGGACCTCTTCTGGGTCCACTTGAATTTCTCGGTGGACGCTGAGCAGCGCCAGTCCGGTCAATCTGTCTTGCTTCATGTGGTTCCGTAGGTAGCTTTTAAGTCTTCTCAATGTTGAGAAAATCCGTTCTGGGGTTGAGGTGGATACGGGAAGTGTCGCCAGGATGCAGAGCAAGCTGTGAATATTCGGGAAGAAGTTCTGGTTACACATGCCTAGCGCTTGCAAAGCGCAAGCTGGCCGATCCTTCTCTTCGATTTGGCAGCGCTTGCTCATCCACAGCGTCAACTCTGCGTTGATGTTGTCGGCTGAGGGAATCTCACCCAGATAGAACTTGACTGCATCGTCAATAGCGGAAAGACTAGCTGAAGCGCAGTACCTCGGAAGCAACATGTTAAGCCCGGCCACAACCTTCCCGTGAGCATCGAAACGCTATCTCAACTGGTTTTCAAAATATGCCAGCAAAGGCAGATACACATTTTTCCGGTAGTGCTCTTCGGCAGCAGCTGATAGCGCGTTGCTTCTTTGCATCTGCCTTGCAGTGATCCGTGGTAGAGCCATCACAACATTTGCACCTTCCAACAAAAAGCACGACTTCTCAAAAATCTTCTTAAATTCAGTTTCCGCGCTCAATTGTTTTGTGGAAAAGACGTTTATAACAGTCGTTACGTGGTCACACACTTTAGACAAGTCACAGTCAATTTTTTGTAAAAACTTGCAAAAAGGCAGAGTTAGAGCAAAGAGGTCACCAGAAACCTGAAGCAAAACGACAAACTCGGGCTTTGTGATGGCACTGAGCAGCTGAGAAGCCTTCGACGATGTATCAGATGACATGCCATGTTCTTCGAAGTCCTCGAGAAATCGGACAATGGGATACACTCCCATTGTCCGATCTCTCGAGGAGTTCAAGTTCAAGAAAACGCTGAAGTGCATCGTGGCCCCACCTCGTTTGGCAACAAGAAAGCACCGATTTTCTTTCTTGCCTCAGGTTTTCTACTTCGCCTTGTAGATGGTTCGTTCTTTGTGGGGAAGCCCTCACAAACGAACAGACAGCGGACACAGTTCCCAAACAGTGGTGAATACTTGGAAGCTTGCATGAATGAAGCAGAGCAAGGTTTAATGAATGGGCGCTACAGTGCACATACAATGCTCTGGGAACGATTTGGCAAACAAAGGCTTGAACACTGTTTAGGTGGCCACTCACGGATGCTGCGCCATCGTACCGCTCCCCGCAAAGCAGGTTCAGGTCAAACCCATGGCCCCTAAGACTGCTAAGAATTCTGTTCGCCAAGGCTTTGCCAGTGAGGTCGTAGACGGGAACAAAATACACAAAATCTTCTTTAAGTACAGGCAGTTCCGAAGCATGGTGTTCAACGTACCTGACACATAGGGAAAGGTGGTTGTTGTTGATTACGGGCTTTATGGCGCAAAGCTACTGTGGCCATACTGCGCCAAGCTTGTTTAGTTGGGACATACTCAGGACTTTTTTATAAGAATTATCGAAAAGAGGTTCATATGACAAGGTTAAAAGTCATAGAGTTAAAATTACAACTCCAATAGGAAGACGGTTTTTCTTAAGTAATTTATGACACGATCAAATGGTACTATAGGAGTCTCCCCAATTAGCAGCGCTGGGTGAAAAGGAATCTGGTGTGAAAAAAACTCGGGGAAATGTGTACGTCGTTCTTGCTCAAGCCCTGGGCACAGCCACAAAATGTGTAAAATTGTTAAACGCTCCCCACATTCATCACACAGGGGTGCTTCCCCCCTGAGCAGATGTTTGTGGGTGAGGAAGGAATGTCCAATTCTAAGACGACGCAAAAGAACTTCAAGGCGGCGGGTTTTGTGGGATGCACTCTCCCACATACCAAGAGCTGGTTTAATCCTGTGAAGTTTGTTTTCGCATTCCAGACTCCACTCCGATTGCCATAGCTAGAAAACTGATGATTTTACCAAGGGCTTCATGTCTTGAAATGGAATCTGTGAGGTGGTTGGCAGTAGGTGCTTAGAGCTCGTGGCCAATTCGTCTGCTCTTTCATTACCTAGGATCCCCGCATGGCTAGGCACCCAGCAGAATTTTATGTCTCGGCCAAGCCGCAGACCACATTGTACCTTAGATCGGACAAGTTGCGCCAGTCTATTTTTACTTCCCTTTATTGAGCAAAGTGTGGTGAGCACACTTTGAGAGTCCACGAATAAAATAGATTTCATCGTCTTGCTGATGAGGATATATTCCAAGGCCGTCAACACTGCATAGAGCTCTGCCGTGTAAATACTTGCACATTCCTTGAGACGCTGAACTTTACTGAATCCTTCAGAGTAAACTGCTGATCCAACAAAATGCAATGATTTGGCACCATCGGTATAAAATTGGGAGTAGTTACCATACTTCTTCTGCACCTCAAGAAATTCTTGCTGAATCACCACTGGGGGGACGTTATGTTTATTAAATCTAGTAAAATTCCAATCACAAAAGACGGGCAACGTACTCCACGGAGCTTCATTTTCACCTTTCTGCAAAAGGTCAGTCTCGTCAAGGGTGAGGTCAAGAGATGTACAAATGTCCTCAAAGCGAAGACTTAAGGGCGGTACAACCCTGGGCCTATGTTCGAAAAGACGAGCAAACCGAGAATGTTGCAAGGCACCATAAGTTGGGTGATTTGGATAGGACAAAATTCTGGAAGCATAAGTCACAGCAAGATAACGTCGTCTGTGCCTAAGTGACATCTGATTAGATTCAGCGTACAAGCTAGGAATGGGCGATGTGCGGAAGGCACCTGTAGCGAGCCTTAAACCGAGATGATGCACAGGATCCAACATTTTCAGTGCAGAGGGCCTCGCTGAGTCGTAAACTATAGCACCATAGTCCAGACGTGACCGGATAAGGGAATTGTACAGGCGTAGCAGACATATTCTGTCGGATCCCCATGACTTGTGCGCTAAGACTTTAAGAATATTAGCTGATTTAAGGCACTTCTTCTTCAGGTCCTTCAGGTGGGAAACGAAGTTTAACTTTTTATCAAATGTTATGCCCAAAAATTTATGCTTTGTTTTTACACTAATAGGAACCCTGTTTAGCGTCAGTTCTGGATCTAGAAACAGCCCCCGACGCAGAGAAAATGGCACGCAGATAGTCTTATCAGCTGAAAACTTAAACCCATTTTCGTCAGCCCACTTACTAATTCTGTTGATGGTAAGCTGCAGTTGCCGCTCACAGCTAGACAAATTACAAGAAGAGGCCGAGATGTGAATATCATCCACATAGAGGGAGTATGAAACGGAAGGTGGAATTACCTTTGACAACGAGTTTATCTTTACGGCAAACAAGGAGACACTCAGTACACCTTGCGGAACACCATTTTCCTGGATATACTGGTCGGATAGTGTGGTGCCAAGTCGAACTTGAAAGGAGCGACCTGTGAGAAAACTGCTTATACACCACAACATGCGACCGCGCACACCAGAGGCATACAAATCATGAAGGATACCATACCGCCATGTCGTATCATATGCTTTCTCTAGGTCGAAGAAAACAGAGACACAATGTTGCCTATTTACGAAAGCTTCACGTATGGTTGTTTCCAGACGGACTCCCCGCAGGGGGCACCTGTGAAAGCAGGTGTTTGGAGCGATGTGTTTGGGATGGTGTTTGGAGCAGGTGCGAACCCGCACGGACCCCGAGCCATGCGGGTTCGCCCGCCCACGTATGGCTGTGCGTGGCTTTCCCGTGTCCGGGGAAAAGGGCATCCTGGTGGTTGAGCCGAGCCCGGGGTAGGTTTGGACCCTTCGGGGCCCCCCGGGTGAGGCAATAGACCACTTCGGCCCCTGCTTCTCGTAGACGGGAGTCCTGGTAAGGCCCGGCCAGGATGATTCAGTCTAGTCGCCACTTCTACTATCCCCTCGCTACTTTCACCGTTGTCTTCTCCTCCTTTTCACTGTTCTCATTTCTCTTCTTTCCTTTTCAACTCCTTTGGCGGCAAGGGCTAACCTTGGGTGGCGACAGACACCTTGTCCAAAACCACTCTTGGTTATAGAGACTGGGCAGCACTAATAGCGTAACGTCTTCAGCCAAGCCATTCTTGTTATGGAGCGTTACCTATTCCCTTGTTGGGCTCGGTGGTGGGCGGTGCACCACAGTTTCCGAAAACCCTCCCCCTTCATATGGGTTCCAAACTTAAACCTTTTGATCGGCCCCCCAAAAGGGGCCGCACCGAAGCACCGAACACGAAACAATCTTTTGTACTGGAAAAATTCCCGAAGTTCCTTGTTATGCACTCGGAAGGTGACAAGCCACTTGGCAAACTTTCTCCCTTTCTAGTCTCCAAAGTTCTTGAGGGTGTTATTGGCGCCAATTACAATGCAAAGAAGATGGGATCTGATGATCTCCTTGTCGAGGTCAACACAAAGCAGCAAAGTGATGCCCTCCTTAAACTGAACCTTGTCTCTGACTACAAAGTAAGCGTCAGTCCTCACCGCAAACTGAACAGTGTTCAAGGGGTCATTTCTGAAGATGACTTGATTAACTCACCTGAGCCGGAGACAATTTAGGGTCTCTCTAGTCAAGGAGTGATAGCTGCACGATGAATCACTATCCGCCGTGATGGTGTGGAACGGAAGACAAAACATATAATTTTGACTTTCGATTCAACCACTCTGCCGCAGACTGTAAAGGCAGGTTACCTTCAATGCCGGGTCCGACCTTATGTGCCGAACCCTCAACGGTGCTTTAAGTGCCAGAGGTTCGGCCATGGGTCACGGAACTGTCGGGGAAGGGACACCTGTGCAAAGTGCTCCAGCAAGGAACACGTTGCAGATGTGTGCGATAATGAGCCTCATTGTGCGAACTGTAGTGGCAACCACCCGGCATACTCTCGATCTTGCCCTGTGTGGAAAGACGAGAAAGAAGTTCTTACATTAAAAGTTACCGAAAACATTACCTACACTGAGGCAAAGAAGCGTTTTGCTTTTGTATCGAAGGGCTCTTATGCCGAGGCCGTGCGCAGGGGACCAGCGCGGCCAGTAGTTTCGATGGGAACGCAGACGTCTCCGGACGACCTGCATCTCCCGTCACGGTCCCCCTCTAAACCCCCGAGAGCGGCGCCAGTGGCACCGCCTCCGAACCGCAAGGTGAATGCTGCTTTGCCAGCATCCGCCCCAGAACAGGAGATGTCGTCTCCTGCTCAACCGGCTGCTTTGACCTCTCGGGGTCGGGGCCTACCTCCCCACACCTCTGCTCCTCAGAGGAAGCCTGGGGAGGTGCCAAAGCAGTCGACCTCCAAGGGCCAGCTGCTAGCAACTGCAGACGAGCCCATGGACGAGGGTGGGTCGAGATCTGATGAGGAGGCTCTCCTCTCAAGATCAGAGTCCACCCCCTCTGCCTCCGGTGACTCTAA